AGGCACCAGTTTGATTGTACACACCAGAGAAAGAGTTATGTTTTGAGGATCCTGGATTTTTAATGGAGTTGTGTTCTGTAATTTGAAAACGAGATTTCCATACAATATGTTATGAAAAGTATGCGATTTTAAAATGAAAAATCTGTTTGAAAAATTAAAGTGTTACAGAAATGTTGTTTTATAAAAATGAAAAAAAATTTCCTTGAAAATTCGGGACGTTACACGTTAAACCACGCAACTCCAAAGAACGAATGACATATCCACAAATCCTGTGATGCAACAGCTTCTAGTATTATACTTGGCTATCCACGTGACATACGTACAACCAAGACTACCAAGCATTCCCGGAAATCCATGCCTATCTTCATGAGCCAAATATAATCTATCAATATCACGTGTAGTTGGTTTATGTAAATATTCTTTGTGATAAACCCCATACACACATGCGTAAAACCAATCTACCCAATCAATTGCGGTCATCTTGGATACTTTCAAGTATTCGTCAGATGCATCAAAGGCTATATTGTATCTCACATATGTAAGCGCAACCGCACATTTTTGTATACTACTAAAACTCATTCTTCATCTAGCAATGATTTTTTGTTTAAAATAATCATAACGCGCCTCTAAAGCATTACTAGTAGTAGTGTTGCAGAAATCGGCCAAATCGGCGCCTATGCACTAATCGGACGTCGACCGATGAGGTTTATTGATAATCGGTCACTTTAATCGGGCTTGGTCAACGCATGTCAAATTCGGTCCTAATCGGAGCTAATCGGTCAAACCTGGTCAAAGAAAATTCAAAAAATTTAGGGGCAAAAATGGTAATCTGAAAATATTTTTCTAGGGTTCGTTCCCACTTCCCACATTCCATCATATTCAATTTAATGTGTTTTCTATTTGGAAATTTCGAAACACTGACTTCGTACTGGCCTCCTAAGCTCGTTCACTGCATTGTCGACATTGTCGACTTCCAAGCTCACCTCTGACGTCGTACGCTTCTCCAGAATCCCTCCAACGCCAGCCCTTGTTTTATCGAGCATCTCATACTTCAAGCTCGCCTCAGAGTTAGTGGGTCGAACATCTTAGACTTCCAAATCCGACTCAGGGTAAGTTTCTTTTGACTTTTTTTGTACTTGTGAAGAACCCAAAAGAATGTTACTACTTATTAAGTTATTAGATAAAGTCGATTCCCTGTATTCTTTGCATTCCTTTAAGTCTTGTATGTGCAACTGATTTTACCAAGTTACCAAGTCTCGTTTGGATTCTCCTCCTTTGTTTTAGTCATGTCTTTTGCACTTAAGCTGTAAACACGGGTTTGGAAGTGTTTATTAATTGTTCAGCAAATTGAAACTTAATTCTTGTCAGAGATGTATATGGTTGGATCAAAGCATTTGCTGCTCTCTTTTCTCTAGTATCGATTATTGCTTGCTGGATCATCTCAAAACTTCTAATCATATTTATTAAGAAATCTGCTTGATAAAATTTGGAAATTGATCTGAGTCATAGATTTGCAATGTCTTTTTGATAAGTATGTTAACCTTTATAACAATAATCATAAAAATAGAAGTTTTTTTGTTCAAATTCATATGAAATTTTATGTAATTAGGACATCAACAGTAAAACTCTTAAGCCTAAGTTGTTTACTTGTTAAGCCTAAGTTGTTTCCAATTAATCTGTTGCTATTAAGTTGTTTAGCTGTCAAGTTGTTAAGCTATTAAGTTGTATTTTTGTTGTTTAGCTGTTAAACCTAAGTTGTTGAGCATCCTAAGTTGTTTACTGTTTACTAAGTTATTCAGCATCCTAAGTTGTTCAACATTCCTTTTCATGCCTTTGAAAGGGATAGCTTCAAAATGATGTTGGAGGTTATTGGCCAATTTGGAACCTAGGCTTCAATGTCCTACTAGATATGCTTTGAGTGACCCACTTCTAAAGCATGACGTTCAAAGAACAAAAAATTTGTTGAAAAAAAAAAGAAAAAGAATGGAAAGAGGATGGATGCTCGATTATGATGGATGCCTGGTCCGATCGAAAGAGAAGAAGCATTATGAATTTATGTGTTAGTTCAAAGATAGGTACCGTTTTTTTATCTTCAAAAGAATGTTCCGGTGAAGCACATACAAGCCAACACATATATGAGTATGTGGAATCTTGTATTCAACAAGTTGGTCCCGAGAATGTTGTTCAAGTTGTTACCGATAATGCCACGAATAACATGGGGGCGACGAAGTTGCTAAAAGAGAAAATATCATCTATTTTTTGGACATCATGTGTGACACATACCATTAACCTTATGCTTGAAGGTAGTTACATTATTTTGTTTATTTATTATTTATTATTTTATTTTTATTACTTTATTTAGTTTTAAAATGTTTAATTGTATGCTATAATTTGTTATTTGATCGTGTTTATTTTTTTAAGGTATCGGAGCACTCCCAATGTTTAAAAAATCCCTAGATCAAGCAAAGAAACTAACCATATTCATTTACGCTCACCACAAAACCTTGGTGATGATGAGAAGTTACACCAACAAAAGAGAAATTATCCGATCGGGAGTCACGAGATTTGCTACCGCCTTTCTAACATTACAAAGTTTGTCTGAAAAAAAGGAGCAACTAAGACATATGTTCTCTAGCAACGAATGGGAGGAATGCAAATTTTCCGGTAAGCCTAAAAGGATTGCCTCATATAAAACTGTGACAAGTGTCCAATTTTGGTCAAGTGTGACACAATGTTTAAAGGTATTCTCCCCTTTGGTGAAAGTCCTTCGAATGATTGATGCGAATTGGAAGCCCTTAATGAGTTTTGTTTACGGGGAGATTAAAATTGCAAAAGAAGAAATTATCAAATCTTTGGGTGGTAACGAGAAACATTACAAGCCTATTATAGATATCATAAACACAAAGATGAAAGGTCGGCTAGATTCAACTTTACATTTGACATCTTATCTTTTGAATCCGTATTATCATTATAATGATTCACAACTCCAATATGACCACGATGTAATGGATGCAGTTCTTCAGTTTTTTGATACATTATTTTGTGGAAATTAAGAGATGCAAAGGCAAGTCGTAACTATTGACTTGCCAAAGTACAAGAAAAAAGTTGATAGATTTTGTTGTGATCTTGAAATTAAACATTGTAAGGTGAACGATGCCGACTTTGATCCGAGTAATTCGTTTTCCTTTTAGTTATCTACTTATCTATTTTATAAAATTTTGATATTTATTGATTAATAATGTGATTTTGTTTCAAAACCGTAGCTGGTGGGGACCATTTGGTGGCGTAACTCCTCATTTGACAAAGGTTACAACGAAGATTCTTTCTTTAACTAGTAGCTCATCGGGTTGTGAAAGGAATTGAAGCACTTTTGAAGGGGTTAGTAATATAAAGCATTAAATTTAAATTTTATAAAATTATAATATTAAGCACTTTTAAACTCTTTGTTGTGTTTAAATTTATAGGTACATACAAAGAAACGAAATAGATTGGAGACAAGTAAATTGAAGAGTCTTGTTTATGTTCAATTCAATACAAATTTAATGGAAAAAAACAAAAAAAAGAAAAGATAAAAACATGGATGTGCTATTAGCAAATAATTCTCTCTCGGCTCAAGAATGGATTGTTGATTGTGATGAGTGTGATGTAGATGAAGTAGATCTTAAAATGGTTGATGATGCTCTAGCAACCGATGTTAGTCAAGCACCCCGAGAAAGTCCAAGAACGAAGGAACTTTTAGATGAAGATTTCGAGTCCGAGAGTGAGAGTGAGGAGCAAGTGTTGGAAGAAGAAGAATATGAGTCGGATGGGGTTCAGATAATGGAAGTATATAAGCTAATCTAGTGGCATGGTCTTCATCTTCTCGGTCAGCACGGTTACGGGATATTCATCCCGTGACACACAACCTTCCTTTTAAGAACTTAATTTTACATCGAGTTGTCATCCCTGATCATATACAAGATCTTCTTCTGAAAAGTGTGTTCCATAGAAGTTTTTTCATTGAATATTAGAAGCCTTTTTCACCAAAAGTTTATCGCATTATTATTATTATAAGCATTATCAACTGTCATATTCATAACATTTGTAATCCCCAACCACATGTTCACTCTAACAACTCACGACCCACATCCTCCCCATATGACTGTCAATATTTCTAAAATTAATAATACGTTTATGTTGCCCAATCTTTCTAGATGAAATTAGTTGTAACAACTATATAGTTTACTCTTTGAGTAGAGAAGTCTTTAAGTATATATATAGTCAAATGAACGGTGTTTTCTGCACTACTTAAATAACCTATTAACTTAGTTATTCATAGACGTAATATTTACCAACATCCATAGATACTTTGTGACATGATGGAAAAAACATCTCATTTAAAGTGCATGTGTATTCAATCCTCATTTTATACTAGTTTGAAAGGAAGTTCACCAACAACGAATATGTTTAATAATTAGTTTTTATCCTAGCCTCATCATGCTTCCAAGTTTGGACACTACCTTCCTCACTAGCTTTGTTTTAAACTATAAGGTACTTTTTTTTCATGGCTTTATTTTCTGGATACTTGTCACAAGTAGTGTAATGTTTTAAAACTAGATGTACCGTTTCTTTGCGGATCAGCGCTAATGTGAAGCAATACTTATACTTTTCATGCTTCCGTTTGACCATGTTATCTTCTTCTGATCACAACACATCAGAGTGTTTCCAACATTCGACTCCCTCCTTCCTAATATTTTGGTTTGCTTTTGTTTGTTGGTTTCCATAACATTTTGTACTTTATCATTAACGAAATCTTCATCACCATGGATGACCACATTAAAGGTTTCCTCAACAAATGTATCATGCTCCTGAAGACTTAAATTACAGTCATTATGATTTAATGTTTATTGTATATGGTTTTAGGGTATACGGTTCACTTTAAGTATTTAGGATTTAGGTAGGTTTAAGGTTTAGTGTTTAGGGTCCTTTACATGATTTATCATTAATTTGTATTACCTAAGTTTTGACTATCAAGTAAAGAATGTTCGGGAAAGACAACCAAGACGCAGGATCCTTTCAGTTTATAACATTTCAGACAATCCAACAACCATGTCGAACATTACTATTTTGTAAACCATTCTTGTAAGTAGAACTACTAGCATTATAAATAGAACTAATAACTAATTACGTAATTCAAATGATAAATTACATCTCCAAAAAGTATGTGATTAACTTTTTATTATTACCCTACAAAAACATGTTCATGCATACTAGTAAAAACCATGGTCATCACGTCATGCATTCAAGGCAGACCTTAAAACCTGTATATTTTTATTTAACACTAACCAAAAAAACTTGTTAACCTACTAAGTAAGTACAGGCCCAGCCCAATAGGGGGCAGGTTGGGCTATCGCCAAAGGCCCCAAAATTCTCAAGGGCCCACTTTATAAGTCCGTTTATAGGAAACCCATATACAAATTTTTTGAACTTTTGAGGCCATTAAACTGAATTAGCAGGAACATCAGGAAAAGAAAAAGGGTGCTGAATAATTTCATTCGAAAAGTAGGCAAGTAGGTTTTCGATTTTCAAATCCATCTTATTGAACCTTCCTTTCCTCTCTAGCTCTCTCTCGGTATTGAAGGAAATCCATTCGAAAATTACTGCTGCTTACACTCAGCACTCCAAATCAGTATCAATCATCCAAAGTTTTGACTTTTAGATCTTTGAACTTTTTTTTTTTTCTGAAATCGGTTCAGACTTCCTCCAGTAAATCGAGGTTCTAGTGAGCCTTCATCGGAATTCGATCATCCATCAAGAACATTGAACACCTTAGAATCAATCAAGCATTAAATCGGGTTTACTGGGTTTTATCAATTTCTGATTTCTGTCTATTTTCTTATCAGTTTTCTGATTTCTTCTGTTTTTAATCCCCAAATCGATTTTGTGGATTTATGAAAAGGCCCCGAAGTGTTTTGTTTCCTGAATTCTTATTTGATGATTCTGTTTTTGATTTTTTTTTTCATATCCGAATTTCTCTTTATCTCTTATTAGGCCCCAAGTTTTGAAGTATCAACTTCAATTCTATATCAGAATTAATAAGTACAAATTTTTTGTTGGAGCCTGGAAGCAAATGGACAACACAACAACATACAATAAGGTCTTCTTTTTTCCATTGCTTTGTTTAATAATCTTTATATCATCATTGTTTTATTTATATAAAAATCTACAACTCCATATATTATAATAACTATAAGATAATAATATGTTTCCTAGAAAAATATCTATCCGGAACAAGCTCAAAAGGATCTATGGATAAATTTATAAAAAAAAAAGATAATTCCAATGTTCAAATTGAATATGAAAATATCACAAATGATAATGAAAATAACACTAATGAGAATGAAATTGATGATGAAAATAATGTCATTAATGAGAATGAAAATGATAATGAAAATTATGTCACTAATGAGGCTGAAATTAACACTAATGAGAATGAAAGTGGTAACAAAGATAATGTCACCAATGATTATGAAAATAACGCTAATGAGAATGAAATTAGTAGTGAAAATGATATGAATGAAAATGGCAATCAATTTGTTCCTCCTTTAAATATTTAATATTTATGATCCAAGTAATTGGGATAATATTGATAATATTAAGGGAAATTTTAGTTGAAAAATAACCAATTAGAGAATGGTGAAACAAATGATCGAAAATGGTTAATTTATTCTAAACAAGTAGATAAAGTTTATTGTCTTTGTTGTAAATTGTTTAAACCTATTATTAATAATAATAATCAAATTTCTTTGGCAAAAAATGGATTTAATAATTGGAAACACCTTTTTGAAAGACTTGATGAACATGAAAATAGTGTTCGACATATTTTATGTGTTCGATCTTGGAATGAGCTAAGAGTAAGATTGAATAAGAATGAAACGATTGATAAGGACTTACAACAACAATATATAAAAGAAAAAGAACGTTGAAGACAAGTTTTAATAAGAATAATTTATGTCGTGAAATATTTATCAAAATACAATTTGGCTTTTCGAGGGTCTAACGAGAAGCTTAATCAAGACAATAATGATACTTTTTTAGGAGTAATTCAAATGATGACAAAATTTGACAGTGTAATGCAAGATCATGTTAGATGCATAGAAAATCATGAAACTCATCATCATTATTTTGGGCACAATATCCAAAATGAACTAATTTCCATTTTAGCTCACAGCGTTAGAAATTCTATGATAAAAATTATTAAAGAACCAAAATATTTTTCTGTGATTCTTGATTGTATCCTTGATGTAAGTCATTAAGAACAAATGACTTTAGTTATTCGATGTGTGAATATATCTAGTAACAAAATAAAAGTTGAAGAATACTTTTTAGAAATTTTGAAGGTAGATGATACGTCTTGTTTAGGACTATTTAACGAATTATTAGATGCAATTAAATCAGTTGGTCTTAATATTGATGACGTAAGATGGCAAGGTTATGATAATGGTTTTAAGATGAAACGGAAACATCAAGGGGTTCAAAAACGATTACTTGAAATTAATCCGAGAGCATTGTATATGTCATGTGTTTGTCATAGTCTTAATCTTACAGTTAGTGACATGACTCATTCCTGTGCTAAAGCTATTTTTTTTTTTTTTGGAGTTGGTGCAACACATATTTGTACTATTTTCGAGTTCTACTAAAAGATGAAAAATACTACTTGAAAATGTTCACAATTTAACTGTAAAATGTTTTATCTAATACACGTTGGAAAAGTAAATCATGTGATGATGCTAAATCAAAAAGTGAAGCAGAAAGTTTAGTTAGTGCCATTGAAAGCTATGAATTTTTACTTGGTATGGTAATTTGGTATGATATTTTATTTGTTATTAATATGGTAAGTAAAAAGTTGCAAACTAAATCTATGAGTATTGATGTCGCCATTAATCAATTAAAAAGTATAATGTCGTTCTTTGAGAAATATAGAAATTAAGGATTTGCCCGTAGTTTAAATAATGCTAAAATCTATAGCGGTTAATATGGATGTCAAACCTACATTTCGAATAAGACTTCAAGTTACTAAAAAAAGACAATTTAATGAAATTGATGATGCACAAGAATTAAAGTCAGCCGAAGAATCGTTTAGAATTCAATATTTTATGGTTGTTGTTAATATGACAATTGTTTCATTAAAGAGTAGATTTGAGCAATTAACTATTTTTGAAAATATTTTTGGATTTTTATATGATTAAAAAAAGTTAAAGTCATTGGATGACATTGAACTTAAAAAAAGTTGTACTAATTTTACAAAACATTTGTCTCATAGTAACTTGTTTGATGTAGATTCAAATTACTTGTTTTCTGAACTTCAAGTATTACAAATGACTTCGATATACGTTTTTATGTCCGCTGTTGAAATTCTAGAGTTTGTTAGAACTGAAGATTGTTATCCACATGTTTTCATTGCATATAGAATATTTGTAACTATACATGTTACTGTAGCATAAACAGAAAGAAGTTTTTCAAAATTAAAGTTATTTAAAAGTTATTTAAGATCATCTATGTCACAAGAAAGATTAAATGATTTGGCTATATTATGTATTGAAAAAGATATGTTGGATAAAATTGATCTTGATACTATTTATGATGACTTTGCTTCTAAAAAAGCTCGTAAATGTAAAATTTTTAGTTTTTCCCTGTTATGTTTATCTAATAGGGTTCAAATCATGTTATAACCTTTTTATTTTGTTGTTTTGTATTTATAGTTTTAGATGGTTTGACTTTTGGGTCTAAAGCTTTTTCCTTTGCATAGGTGGGGAGTCCCTGCCTCGAATTGTATTAATTTTATAAAAATTATATCCATATAC